GTTTTTTTATAAGGGATATCTGTTAGGTCAGTTTTTTTTTGTAATGGTTCCTGAATTTTCAGACTTGTATCGAGCATGGGTTCTGATTTTGTCAAAGGCGTGATTTGCGGGCCCCCCCCAGAATTACAGCGATATGCGCATATTCCCCCTCAAAACTGGCCTGACTGCCAGGTTCCCGCCCGCAGACATCGTTTGCTGAGTCACATGTTGCCGCGCTGCCTCACGGCATTGGTCCTTCTCAAAGTGTCGGCCAGCACCCAGTTTGCCTGCATGCGTGGATTGGTTGCCTTTGTAAATGCTGCCTGAATAGCCAATCACGTGTATGCCAGCGATGATGACCCAGCTTCAACACCACACTCCGGTTCGACGCCGACGCGCATGCGCCGCGCTAGTTTCGGTCCAGATTCAGGAATACAGGAAACCAACTGTGCATGGCTGGCAAAGTGTTCACGCCTCGCCATCGTTCCCTTTCCCCCCTGCGTCTTGTTCATCTGTTTCTTCCCACGGTAGGAACAGCCACTGCGTTAACCACTCCCAGCGTGACCTTCCCCCCGCAGTGTCGTTGTTTTACAACCACTCCGTCGTGTGTCTCTGCTCGTCGACCACCCTAGTGAGCCCAGTCCACATGCCTGAGTCAGGCGACGTGGAATTGGACGACGATGGCGACGACAGCGGCAGTCACCGTGCCGAAGCCCCCAATGGGCTTGACATGCTCCTTTCGACGCTAGGTAGTTTTCCGAAGACTCCTCCTAACCCTCCGACGGAACAAAACCCCCTATGCGCCTCGCAGTCGTTCGCCTCTACTTCTCAAGGTGTTGTCGAGCCGAATTCCGCGCCTATTCTAGGCCCATCCCTGGCTAATGCTTTTACCTGTAGTCCAGGCTCCGCCACCCCCGTGAAACCTGCCGGTCGATACCGGCAATCCACCCTGTGGAATTTCCCACGCGGTCAGCCGACGACGCCCCGCCCCTCAGCCATGTGCGAAGATGACGACAGCGATGGCGACGACACTACCGTTGCACCCAACAAGTTTCGGTCGCCTGAGGATGTCTACGGCGAAGCCCTCAGCAGGTTTAACACGCGGTGGTCCGAGCGGTTTCCCTGGCTTATGATCGTTAAGACTGACGCTGGATTCCCTGCGTTTAAATGCAGTCTGTGCCTTGAGCATGCAGGACTCAGAGGGAAAGTCGGCAAACGCGGCGCAGGGCTGACGGACGTGCAGTTGCAGGCATTCAACAGGCACGCGGGGTCGGCCAAGCATCGCCTAGCCGTGACAAAGCAGCAGGCGCTGCTGCAGGACGCAACCAACCAGCTGCGGATCGACCAGCTTCCTCAAGCCGCAGACCTGGAGAAGGAACGTGTGACTGCGCTGCTTGACGCGCTCTACTTCTGCTGCAAAGGCAACGAGCCGATGGAAAACTGGATCAGACTCGTGCGCTACCTCAGCCAACGTCGGCACGAGCACTTCCCCGAACAGACCTATGGCACGTACTACAACAGGTATTTTTGTGTGTTGTTTGATTTTGTTTTGCATGCATCTATCATGCATAACGAATGTTAATATTTCAGCATACTAATTATGTGTATGCCCTTGGCTATTGCAGTTATGGGTACGGGGAGTTCACACAGTCCATGGCAACCTGGCTGCAGACAACACCGTTGGACCACCTTCTGAGGAGCCCGTTCATCGGCTTGAGTATCGATGAGAGCACAGACCGCTGCCGCGGCAAGCACCTCATCGTGTTTGCGCACTTCATCCGCGAGAACCAAGTCGTCTGCGAATACCTGGCCCTGCTGAGCGTCGACAAGGCCGACGCTGCCTCTCTGCTCGCTCTACTCCTGTCTCACATCAACGCCATTGGTGTCGACCTCCGGCGGGTCGTGGGCATAAGCACCGATGGCGCTGCTGTTATGATGGGGTCGAAGGCTGGGCTTGTGACGCGGCTGCGGATGCAAATTCCGCACTTGGTGTCGTGTCACTGTATTGCGCACAGGTGAGCGTTGTTGTTTACCGCTACTGTTGTGTATTACCCCACTCCCAAGGCCCAACATGTACCATTTTTTTCTCGTTTTGTCCCACCCTCCAGAGAGGCACTGGCAGCTAAAGTAGCGGCAGAATCCTTGCCAGCGTTCAAGATGATTGACGATGTCATCAAGGAGCTCGCTGAGTACTTCGGACGATCCGGCCCATGGCACCAGCGCTTCTTGGACCTGCAGGAAATCTTCACCTCGACGAACCTTGAACTTCAAGGCATTCATAACATTCGATGGCTCTCCCGCGGTGAGGCTGTCATTAGGTTAGTCAAGGTTCTACCCGCCATCGTCGTCATGCTCTCGGAGTGGACTGATACCCGGCTCTCCAGGATAGTGACAAGCTACCGCTTCTGGTTCCTTGTCATGTTCCTTGCTGACGTACTGGAGCAGCTAAACATCCTCAACAAGTCCTTCCAGGAGCGTCAGGTGAGTTTTTCTTTACTGTGACAATGAGTCGTTATTAAACCACCCTGGTTCTGTATATATACACGTTCCCCTCCCTTCCTCCCCTCCCTCTCTTCCCCGCCCCAACCTCAGCTGGAGTACTCGGCCGTCCACGCGCAGATCATCCGCACAACAACCCTGCTGCAGAGCCGCTACGGGGACGCCGAAGACTTCGGCGGGGGACCGAAGGACCGTCTCACCATCTTCCTCACCCGTCACGGCCCGGGCGGTTCTCGCGAGGTCACAGCTGAGGGGGTTGACTCCGATGGTCGTCCGGCTTCCTTTACCTTCGTGCTGCATGAAGATCGCTTGCCCGGTTATCCGGGGGAGGGCAATCACGACGCGTGCCAGAGGCTCTGTGTGGCCATGGCGACAGGCATGGTGTCGAACTTGAAGGAGCGGCTGGGTGATCTGGGGAAGCTCTCTGGCTGCCGCCTCTTCTCTGTCAACCTCTGGCCCCCTAACTGGGAGAGAGCTGCGCGCAAGGCCCAGTGCCTTGATTGGTTCTTCTCCCTTGTTACTCTTTATCGTGCAGATGAGGCAGAGGAGATTCTTCCTGGCATTGACAAGCGTGCAGCCATGAGAGAGCTGCCTCATTTCTGCCCTGTCATTGCTGCTCTTCCCCAGGCCGACCGAAGCTTTCACGCTGGGCTCACGGCCATGCTGAAGACACCTGACTGGCAGGATTCTTACCCGAACCTGATGAAGCTGTGGATGGCGGTGGCAGTGCTTCCTCTCAGCACTGTGGAGTGCGAGCGTGGATTCTCTAGGCAGAATGTGATTAAGAGCTGGCTGCGTGGCAGTCTTAAAGATACTAGGCTTAGTGACCTCATGTGCATGTCACTGTTAGACTATGACCCGGACTATGATGCTGTGGTGGAGATATGGCGCGCTTACAAGAAGCGTAAGCCCTTCAACAACACCCCTTAGGCCAAGCAAGACGGCTCGAAGAAGGGGAAGGTAGTAGCAGAAGAGGCAGAGTGGGGTGTAGTCTTAGAAACTTAGGACACGAGCCTCTTAAACTTAGGAGGCTAGGTAGGCTAGGATACTAGAAGTGACGCCATGGAATATCGTGAGGAGAAGTGGGGTAGGCAAAAGTGACGAGAAAGAAGGGGACGATTAGGAAGAGAGGGGAGTACAAGGAGGGGTTTGTACCCCCTACAGAAAGGTTCAGTAACAACCTACCAAGCCTATATTAAATTATAACTTATATAATTTTAACACACCCCCTAGGCTTGGTAGTCGCACACCCACCCAACCCACCCCCTAACCCCGCACACCCTCAAGCTCGTGCTTAGCCGGGTATCTGACCCTCGTGCAAAGCGTTGACACACCCCCGTACACGAGGCAGCCTACGGCGTCTGGGCGGGTCAGCGACAAGCAGCGGCGGAGCTCTGGCTCAAGGCGGCTGGGTCGCCGACAACAGGCGGCGACCGCCGCGGCTGAGGGCTCTCGGTGATGTGGCAACGTCCGGGCAGAAGACAGCAGCTGCGACAGGAGGAGGGGAAGACGCAGGGGGAAGGGAGAATGGGGGGGGGGGGGGGGGACGGGGCGAGTCTTCAGCGACGCGCCATAAATGGCGCGGCGCTTACTGGCGGGAGGACGTCGTCCTGAGGGACGCCCGTGGCTGGCGAGCGGGCGGCAGGCCCGGCGACGCCACAGATGTCGCTCGGCCGGCCGCAGCCCGACGATGCCGTCGGCTGCCGTAGACGCCGCCGCAGCGCACCGTCAATGTCGCAGCGGTGAGGCGGACGGGCGACGGCTGCACCAAGGGGCCGTCGCGACACCTTGGCGCCGCGACGGCAGGCAACGAGGGGCCGTCGCGACACCTTGGTGCCGCGACGGCGGGCAACCAGGGGCCGTCGCGACACCTTGGTGCCGCGACGGCAGGTAACAAGGGGCCGACGCGACATCCTGGCGTCGCGACGGCAGGCAGGCGGAAAACCGCGAAGGCTGCGAATGCAGCAGGAGTACGCAACGGGTACGTAGGGAGAGGGTCCGGTGGACACGACCGGCTCTGATACCATCTTAGAAACTTAGGACACGAGCCTCTTAAACTTAGGAGGCTAGGTAGGCTAGGATACTAGAAGTGACGCCATGGAATATCGTGAGGAGAAGTGGGGTAGGCAAAAGTGACGAGAAAGAAGGGGACGATTAGGAAGAGAGGGGAGTACAAGGAGGGGTTTGTACCCCCTACAGAAAGGTTCAGTAACAACCTACCAAGCCTATATTAAATTATAACTTATATAATTTTAACATGTAGGTAGTAGTGACGACAATGTGGATGATCTTGGTAATGTCGAGTAAAGTTATTTGCTTCTCAATTTCCTCTTCATTTTGTCAATCAGGGAAAAAAAACCATCTATCTCTGTCCATTCAGCATTTTTGTCCCACACAATCCTGACTCCTCAGCAAAAAAAATTGGGGACCTCGAAAATTCAGGGAAAAAACCACGGGTAGTCCTTTGCAATCAGGACGACTTAAAATCAATCTGAGGCCCTGGCGTGATACCATGTTAAAGTGAGAACCGAATGATGGACTAGAAGTGAAAACCTAGAACAAATACTAGTTGGTTGTACTCACTAGAAGCATACCTCAGTCTAGCCTATAACTTCTACATAGCTAATACGTATAAGTTGACATTCTATGCGACCAGACCTTCTATCCGGGCGAATATGGGTATTTGATTTCCCTTCAACGTGTCGACTACCAATGAGCTTCTGCCTCAACTTGGCTTGGAACCTTTCAATTCGCCAGTGGGGTGGGGTGGCAGGGAGCGGGTCAGAGGTAGAGCTGGATGAGCTCGTCGCTGACAGCGGCAGGGGTGAGCACGCCCAGGTCCGTGAACAGCAGCGTCAGCAGGTCCGGCGGCGCGTACTCCCTCTTCGGACCCACCGGCGCTGCCTCTGCCGCCACCAGCCCCACTGCTAGTGCTTCTGGCGATGTAGAGGGCGCTGAGGCAGCGGTGGCAGCGAGGGTGTTTGGTGAGTGCGTGCTGGAGGGCAGCGCGCTGATGCCGTGCTCCCAGTCGTTCTGGTCCAGGGGAAACATGCGCGCAAACTGGCATCAACACACAGGAGGGGGGGAAGCGGGAGGGTGGGAGGTGAGGAGCAAGATGACAGCGGAGTAAAATGTATGCAAGGAAAAGACGTTATTTGCCGAAACCAGAGCGCATTCTCTCTCTTCCCCCCCTGTGCCCTCTCTCATGTGCGCCCCCTTCCCCCCCGGCAGAGTGCGGCACCTTGTAGCTCTCGGCGGCGACGTAGAAGGGCTTGCCCATGGCCTTGGCCACGATTGCCAGGGGGAACACGCCCACCGCTGACAGCACGCCGCCGCTCTCCACCACGCCCTCAGCGCCGCACAGCACCATGTCGCAGCGCTGCACCGCCACGCCCATGGCTGCATCCACCACCACCGCCACCGGCACCCCGCCCCGCTGCAGCTGCCCTGCCATGCGCTGCCCCGCCGCATCCATGCGCCCCTCTGAGTTGGGGGGTGGGGCGAAGGGGGGTTGAATGGGATTGAGGGATAGAGATGCTTGGATGCGGACGGATGCTGTCACGGCTAATTTCGCAAGATTGGACTGAAGGTCGAAAATGGGGTGTGGATTGAAGGAATGGGAAGGTACAGAGAACGAATTTGGCAATGCTGGTATTGTCCTCGTGCAGTGCAACAGCTGCAAGAGCTATCATGTGACTACATGTTCGTGTGGGAGTGGGGGCGCCCGGGCGGGGAGGGGAGGGAGTGTGTGGGTGGTGTGTGTGCGTGGGTGTGTGGGATTGCATGTGCAAAGCATGTGCTAGGTGCAATTATTTGGCAAAGTTTTCTTATTTTTCACCAAAATATTCGGAAATGAAGTTTTCCATGGAATAATTCCATAATTTCGGAGGAGTGTATGAGATAATCTTTGGTGCAAAAATTCGGCCGAAGATTCCGAGAAAAAAAAAAAACACACACAAAAAACAAACGCGATTAGACAGAATTTTGACGAACAGCAGAATTGAATGTGTAGGGGGAAGGATTTCAAAAAGAAAGGAAACTTGGGCGAGGTTTGTGAAGGCCACAAACGCAGCATGCCAAAAGAGGCTCACTAATAACAGCCCACCAATAGCGCGACACTAACTATGGGGCAGGCCAATAATGGCCCACCAAAGGAGGCTCGCCAAAATCTGCTTGCCAACTATGCCAGGCCAACACCGCCACCAAAGGAGGCTCACCAAAATTGGCTAGCGGATAATTGCAGGCCAATAATGGCAGTGTGTGCATATGTGTGTGTGCCTGTGTGTGTGCCTGTGTGTGTGCCTGCCTGTGTGCCTGCCTGTGGGCCTGCCTGTGTGCCTGCCTGTGTGCCTGTGCCTCTGTGCCTGTGTGCCTGTGTGCCTGTGTGCCTGTAAGCCTGTGTGTGCCTGTGTGCCTGTGTGTATATGTGTGTGTTTGCCTGTGTGTGTGTGTGTGGGGGGGGGTGGCTATGTTGGAATATACGCGTATTGCGTATTATACGCCAGCGTATATACGCAAAACCCATGGGTTTGGGGTCCAATACAGCAGGAATACGCATGCCTGGGCAGCCTATAAATTTGCCCGGGCAGGGAAACAAAACCAGGGGCCAGCAAGGAAGCCAGGTTGGGGGCGGCTAGTCTAGGGTTTCTGAAAACGCGACTCTCAAATGAGAGGCGTTTTCTGGGGGGTCGAATTTTCACCAACCAATTCCCTCCCTTTCACCGCACTCAACCCCCCCTGTCTACAAAGTCAAATTGGCTTCCAACCAACTCCCTCCCTTTCACCGCACTGAACTCCCCCTCATCTACAAACTCCAACCTTTCATCACAAATGCTGCACTCTCCCCCCATCACCTCCCTCCCATTTTGCGGGAAGGCCTAACAGCTAAGCACCGTAACTCACGCAATCTCCACCACCTAGCTAAGCACACCACAGTTTTGCTTCAGATCTGAGATTTGGGCGGAATTGGGGAACGACAAACACGGGATGGCTTTCAAACACGTCCAGAGCAGGCTGGGGTACGGGCGAAAAAAAATGCGCGAAAAAAATTGCGGCGTCGCGAATTCGCGGAAAACAAAATATGAGTCATTTTTTCTTTTTCGCCGGGCAGCCCGGGTTTTGCGTATCGCGTATTCCAAGCCTATCAGCGTATTGCATATATACGCAATACGCAAAGCCTACAGAGCGTATATTCCAACATGCGTGTGTGCGTGTGTGTGGGTGCGCGTGTGTGTGTGTGTGTGTGTGTGCGCGCGCGCGCGCGCGTGCGTGCGTGCATGCGTGCGCGTGTGTGAGTGTGAGTGTGCGTGCGTGCGTGGGTGGGTGGGTGTGGGTGGGTGGGTGGGTGGGTGTGTGTGTGCGGGGGGGGGGGGGGGGAGGGGGGAGTTTTGGTACTTCTGGCAAAATTCCATTGAAATTGTGTTAGGCCTTCAAAAAGAAAGTTCTGGCATCTGCCATCTGTTTCCCTGACATCACAGCCATCGTTCTGCGAGCTGTCACCTCCACTCCCTCGTCTTCAACCAGCCTCCACTGCAGTCAAGCATTTCAAATGCCTTTCCCGTTTTTATCTTACTCTTCTTTCGAATAGATTTTCCGATTGTTCGACAAAAAATTTCGAATACCGAAGTTTTTGGGAAACAAGAAAAACAAATTGTCGAAAATGTGCACCCTGCGTGTGAGTGCGTGTGTTTGTTGTGTGTTTGCATGTCTACACGCCTGTGCGTGCATGTGTGTGCATACGTGTAAGTGTGTGCGTTGCGTGCATGTGTGCATGTGTGTGTGAGTGTGCGTGTGCGTGAGCGTGCTCGCGCGCGCGCGCGCGTGTGTGTGTGTGTGTGTTTGTGTGTGTGTGTGTGTGTGTGTGTGTGTGTGTGTGTGTGTGTGTGTGTGCGCGCGCGCGCGTGCGTGCATTTGGGTATGCGCGTGTGTGTGCTGTGCGGGAACGCATCTCCGCCTGTGCGCATGACTGCAGCGCTGCTGGCCATCTCACCAGTGGCAATGACTGAGAAGAACTTGCCGCGTGCTGCTGCCTCAGACAGCAGCGCAAGCACCACCTGGGAGGGGGGGAAGGGGGAGGGAGAGATTTGCACCACCTGCACCGCTATCTGACGCCACCGCTTTTACCATTTCACCCTAGTTGACTTCTGATTAGCCCTCACATCCGAAACGAATACTTGTGGAAATGAAAGTGGGTGCAGAGTGGGAGGAGTAGATGCGAAGGAGGAGCAGGGAGCGTGCACATGCGCGTGAGGGGTTGTGAGAATCAGTGCTGGCAGCATAGTGCAGTATCACAGTGTGTGCCACGGCTACATGCCATGCCACGTGCTACAGGTGCCACTTGCAGCAGCAGTGTGAGGGGCGCGGCGGAGTGAGGGGCGGGCGGGCAGGGCACCTGGGAGAAGCCGTGGGTGAGGATGACGGAGCCGTCCGTGATGAACTCCTGCCCTAGCATCGCTATGGTGCGCCGCGCCTGTGCTCCTCACACCCATGCATGGTAGTCGTCATGGTCATGGTCATGGTCATGGTCATGGTCATGGTCATGGTCATGGTCATGGTCATGATCATGGTCATGATGGTGGTTACGGCACGCAGGAGGACAGCAGTGGGGATAGGCAGTTCAATGGGTGGGGGCGAAAGAGCTCAAGGGTGCAAGAGTGGGAAGCACGACAAGTGTGAGGAGAACCGAAGAAGCAGGGAGCCGTAGGGGAGCACAATGCAAATAATCAGTGGGAGAAGCAGAGAACGGGAGAGAGGGAGACGGGCAAGAGGGAGGGGAGGGGCGCACACGGGAAGGGGGCGGCAGAGGAGGAGGGAGCTAAAGGGGGAGCGGCATGAAGGAGGAGGGGGGTGGTGCAGGAGCGGCACTGACATTGAGGGAGATGCCGCTGAAGCGCTGGCCTCGCTCTATCAGGCGTGCCTTGGCGGCGGGCAGGTCGTCCGCCTCCACTGACGTGCGGCTCACGAAGCACAGGAAGATGTCGCACGCTGCGCGCAGCGATATGCACCCGCTGCTCTCGCGCTGCCACCACGCCACGGGTGCACCAACAGGGGTGTGACGGGCAGATAGGCATGAGCGGGGTGATGAGCACAGGACGAACACGCATGGCGCATGGACCATAGCGCATGGCGCATGGCGCATGGACAATCATTGCGCTCCCTTAATCACCCACTGTGTTGCCCTGCCCTCCCTTTCTCCTGTGCTGTTCCTTCGCCCTGCATCCCGCATCCGTCCCCATCACAACCCCCACGCCCTCGCACCTTGAGGGCGTCGCACCTTGAGGGCGTCGCACCTTGAGGGCATCGCACCTTGAGGGCGTCGCACCTTGAGGGCGTCGCACCTTGAGGGCATCGCACCTTGAGGGCGTCGCACCTTGAGGGCGTCGCACCTTGAGGGCGTCGCACCTTGAGGGCATCGCACCTTGAGGGCGTCGCACCTTGAGGGCGTCGCACCTTGAGGGCATCGCACCTTGAGGGCGTCGCACCTTGAGGGCGTCGCACCTTGAGGGCGTCGCACCTTGAGGGCGTCGCACCTTGAGGGCATCGCACCTTGTGGGCGTCGCACCTTGAGGGCATCGCACCTTGAGGGCGTCGCACCTTGAGGGCATCGCACCTTGTGGGTGTCGCACCTTGAGGTCGTCGCATGCGCGTCGCAGCTCCACCTCGAGCCCCATCACGGTCGTGGCTTCGCTTCGTTCGATCACGGACGTCAGCGCCTTCACGGCGGCCACCGCCACGGCCGTCGTCGGGTCCTCGCGCCGCCACCGCCCGAACTCCTCCAGCACGCTCCACCCGCCGCCGCCGCCGCCTTCCCCGCCAGACAGCCCTGCTGCCGCCGCGTCTTGCGCGCGCGCGCCATGAGTCCCCGCGGGTTGCACCGCCATGGTCGCTGGAGCTGCCATCTCGCGCGCGCCCCTTTGCGCCACCGCCTTCCTGCCTGTCGCCGCCGCCGCCTCCGCCTGCGCCGCCGTAAACCCTAATCCGCGCGCCACGCCCGTCGGCACCCCCCACCCCGTCACCACCCAGAAATCCTGTGACTCCGCCGAAAACCCGCCCACCCCGTCCTGCCTCGCGTTACCCGCCCCCGCGCCCCCCTCCCACCCTCCCCCCGCGGCCTCTGCGCTTGGCGCGCTTCCCGCCGCGCCTGCGCCTGCAGATTCGTTTCCCGCAACGAAAGTTGCGCCGTCAGCGATAGCGGGGGTGGCGGCGCGGAGGGCGGAGGAGAGGTTGGAGACCCGCGCGGGGCGAGCGAGATGCGGCGAGCGGGCTGCCGGGAGAGACGCGGAGGGGTCGAAGTGCATGGGGCGATGGGCGACGCGCGCAGCGCACTGCTCACGGGCGCTAGGGTGCGGGGAGACAGGGTTGAGGTTTACGCGAGAGGATGGGGACAGGGAAGAGCTGCGCCAAAGAGGCTCGTCGCGACGGGTGTGCTGAACGACCTAGAGCTTGCTGCCGTGGGATGGCAAAGCAGGACCGTTGTTGCTTCAAGGCTGAGGGAAGGTTTCTAGGATCCACGAGTAAAGCCTCTTAGCTCACGATGTAGCTGTCGGGGTGAGTGTTCCGAGCAGGTGCTATGCCTGGAACGGTTTAGAGGGTGGGCCAAAGTAGAGCATGTGGACATCACGGACTCCCAAAGAGGGTTACCACCACTGTAGACGCTACAGTTGCGATTTCCGGGCTGGCCAAAGTAGGGCTCCCGAAACACCGTAATCACGATTGATGTCAAACGCGGTTTTTTTCAACAAACGAGCGGGCAATAAAATGTTCATTAATCATCGTTCGGGCCCAACACCCTATGAAATTCGAAACAGCGAAAACACAGCGGGCTTGCGAAGGATGTAGGGGCGAGGGCGCCAAAGTCATGTGCGTATTTTGGCCACCACTGTTCGAATGTCAGGTTATAAATGTGGTAACACTTTGTCAGCTAGTGTTTTTTTGTTGTTGCCTTGCCCTTGCCGAAAATTTCCATGCATATCACTGTTTGGGCAGAATTCGACACCCTGTATATGGCCCGCAAATGGTTTCGCGGAAGGTTTGACGTCCCCCTCCGACATCGAGCCTTGCGGGTGAGTTGACGTCGGCTAAGCTTAGCTCGCGTCAACACTCTACTTTGGCCACCCTCTAAGGTTCGGGGTTAGCCACAGAAGCCCACGTGTGCGAGGCCTCTAACTAAGGGTGTGTTTCTAGTAGGTGTCATCCCGAGAAAGTGTCATCCTAGAAATGTTGGAAACCCATCTCAACCGTTATTTTGAAACCTCAACGGTTGCGATGGGTTTCCAACATTCTTGGATGACACTTTCTCGGGATGACACCTACTAGAAACATGTCCTAAGCCCCAGAGTATTCCGGAAGGAGACGGAATCGCCTCTGGATTCACCTCGAAAATACCCGTTACCGAAAGGAATCGGCGGCTACAAATTCGGCTAGCAAGGAATCAAAGGCGGCGGGGGTGGGTGGGTGGATAAAGGGGGAGGGAGGTATGGGGAGCGTTGGGTGGGGGATCCCTACCTCCTACTGATTGCCCTACAAGTATAGCCCGTATGGATTCTGTTATGAATACAAGGTCGCTATTGCAATGAAGGCACGAGGTTTTATAGGGCTTGGCGTGCTAAGGCGATAACCTCGGAACGTGGGTAGGTTTAGCTATGTGGCGACAGTGCTGGACGCGACTCGGGGAAGGATTGGGCCGACAAATGAGGCCGAACGTGACGAGCCGAGGAGTTCGGGTGTACGTGCTAGCGTACAACTCAGTAAGGAATGGAAATTCCTTATGTATTCCAAAAAAAGGTTGCTTGTTGGGTTGTGTAGCAGGCCTATACATTTGGTGTTATGATATAGGAAGTGTCAATGAAATATAACGTAAAAATACAAGGTCGCCATTGCAATGGAGGCACGATATTATATAGGGGTTGGCATGCTAGGGCGATAACCTCGGAACGTGGGTAGGTTCGGCAATGTGGCGACAGTGCCAGACGCGACTCGGGAAAGGGTTGGGCCGACAAATGAGGCCGAACGTGACGAGTCGAGGAGTTCGGGTGTACGCGCTAGCATACGACTCAGGAAGGAATGGAAATTCCTTACACTACCCCTCCCCCCCCCCCTAAACGAGGCCGCGGGCATCGGAAACATTCCGAAGCTGATAATACGCTGTTAGAATTGGGTGTGATTCTATATCGGCGAGGGGTACCCAGTTGTCATCCTAAGACGTCCGATCGCACCATCTGACGAAAAAATCTACCATTCGACGGTTCTGTTGCGTTGTGACTCGATGGCCGAGAATCTTCAGGGGCTCGGTCGTTGGTTCCTGCAGGGGCGTTAGCTGCGATACGATGCGCTGACGTGCCAAATCCGACGAACTGGGGACGAAGGGTCGAAGTAGGCTGACGTGGAAAGCCGGGTGGTGACGCCAATCAGCCGGGAGTTGAACGTCAGCTGTGACAGGTCTCACCATATTGGTCACGTCGGAGTTTGCTCGGGATCGGCAGGCGCAAGTTGCGAGTGTCGAGTAGTACGAGATCTTCCACTTTGTAAGTGATGTCACGTCGATGACGGTCGGCTTGTTGGCTTGCGACCAGATTGGCTTTCCGGATTGCCTCAGCTGCTTTTTCTCGGGCTGCGAGGATGTCTTCGGCAAATCGCTGGGACCGGGGCACGGGTGTCTCGATGTTTGGTGTAGAGGGTACCACTGGGTCCTGTCCGTAGTTGAGGAAAAATGGGGATTGATGGGTTGTGGCGGAAGGCGCGTTATTATACGCGAATTCTAGCAGCGGAAGGGATTTCTCCCATGTCTGTGGGTCAGTGCAGGTAGTCCGAATGAGTTGCTCCATAGTTTGGTTGACTCGTTTGGTCTGCCCATCAGTCTGTGGGTGGTAGGCTGAGGAAAATTGTAGTTTGGTGCCGAATTGGTCCCACAGGTGGCGCCATAAATTCGATGTGAATTTCGGGTCTCGGTCTGAAATAATGGCGGTGGGCAGTCCGTGCAGTCTGTTGACGTTGGTGTGGGCAAATTGCTCAGCTGTATTTTTTAGTTGGCAGGCGACAAAGTGCGCCATTTTTGTGAGTCAGTCAACGACCACAAGGATGGCGTCGTTTCCGCTGGGACCAGCCGACAGTCCTGTCACGTATTCCATCGTAACGTGTTGACAGGGTCTCTCGAGCGGATCCAGCGGCTGTACGAGTCCGGCGGCTTGCTGATGGGATAATTTCATGATCTGGCAGGCGGTGCAGGAGGGCACGTACTTGCGCACGTCGTCGGCCATGACCGGCCAGTAATAATTGCGTTGCAACGTCTTCATGGTTTTGTCGACTCCAAAATGCCCAGAGGTAGGGTTGTCGTGGGATTCATGGAGTAGGAGGGTACGAAGTAAATCATAGCCGGGAACCCAGATGTGGGAAGTATCGCGCTTATTAAGGAAGTATCCGGTAGCGGTGGTATGCTGTTGGTGAATGGCAAAGCGGAAGAAGGGGTCGATCTTGTAGCCGTGGGTAAATAGTCCGGTAAGGAGTGGGCTGGTCTAGGCGACTAGTATGGCGGCTGTGTGGGCAGTGGGTCGTGTCAGGGCATCAGCAATGTTGTTGGCGTCCTGTTTGTAGGTGATGGTGTAGTGGAAGTTTGACTCGAGGAAATCGAGCCATCAGATTTGTCGCGGGTTGAGATTCGGCTGGGCTCGCAGGTAGTGGAGGGATTTGTGGTCGGTTCGCACATTGACGGCAGTGCCTGACAGGTAGCACCGCCAGGTCTTGAACGCATGGACGATCGCCAACATTTCCTTGTCGTGTACCGTGTAATTTTCTCTTCACCCTGCAGCTTCCGTGATTTGTAGGCAACTGGCTGTAATCCTTCGCCGAAATCCTGTAGAAGGAATGCACCGATGCGATGTCGCTAGCGTCGGTGATGACTTCGTATGGAGGGTCAGGATCGGCAATGCGAAGGACAGGCAGCGATGTGAGCGCGATCTTCAGTTGGTCAAATGCAGCTTGCTGCTGCTCTCCCCACCAAAAACAATCGTTATCCTTGAGTCGGTCAGTTAGCGCGGCAGATAACCCAACCATATTGGTTATAAACTTGCGGACGTAATTGACGAAACCCAAAAAACTCTGCAACTACTTGATGTTGCTTGGCGGCTTCCATTCCTGTATGGTCTTGATTTTCTTGGGATCAATTTTCACTCCTTCAGTAGAGACGATGTGGCCCAGAAACTCCAACTCCAGCTTTAGAAAGTCGCACTTAGACCCTTTGGTGATGAGGCGATTCTTGTGCAGAAGCGTGAAGATTGCATCAAGATATTGTAAGTGCTACTCCCTGCTGCGGCTGTATATAAGTATGTCATCGGGGTAGATGATGACACATTTGTCCAAGAGTTCCCTGAAAATTCCATTCACGGTCATTTGGAAGGTCGAAGGTGCGTTCCTGAGGCCAAAAGGCATCACCAGGTACTCGTAGCTGCCGTAGCGGTTTTGAAATGCCGTCTTGTGATAATCTTCGGCGGGGACGCGAATCTGATGGTAACCTCCTCGCAAGTCAATTTTTGAGAAAACTTGGCACAGCGAAGTTGGTCGAGAAGTTTGTCGGCTCGCGTGATCGGGTAATGCGACTTGATGGTGATCCGGTTGAGTCCTATGGTCCTTACACAAAGTTAGTGGGTTGCCTCATGTACCTGATGACTTGCACTCGCCCAGATCTCGCATACCCTCTCAGCATCCTGGCTCTCTTTGTGGCCACAGGCAGACACAGACCACAGCACTGGTCGGCCGCTAAGAGGGTTTTGCGTTATCTTGCGAGTACATCGGGAATGGGGCTAGTGCTGGGAGGACGCAGGCCAGTGGTCCTTACGGGGCACACAGACGCTTCTTGGGCAGACGACGCTGAGACCCTCAGGTCCTCCCAGGGCTACTGCTTTAGCCTTTGTTCAGGTGTTGTTTTGTGGAGAGCTACATGCTCCTCGTCTGTTGCCCAGTCCAGCTGCGAGGCTGAGATCTACACCCGTTCCATGGCGGCACAGGAGCTCCGCTGGCTGACCTTCTTGCTCACCGACTTAGGTGAGCGGCCTAGCTCTGCCCTGGTCCTGTACGCTGACAACAGGGCCATGATCCTCCTGTGTCAGGAGCCTCGACTTAAGGGTAGAGCGAAGAACATTCAGCTGAGGAGAGGAACTGAAGATCGAACCGCCGAAGGACCTGGCGTACCAAGTGTGACTGTGAGAGAGTGATGGTGCGCGCTGCTCTGTCCCTAGATATATGCCGACCAAGGTAGTGGCGCAGTTCTCCTAGGTCAGTGCAGGTGTGTCTATTCAGTAGCTCTGGCCAGCACGAACGAAGAGTGAGGGGTCGGCCGAGGACGGAAAGAACTGCAGGTCTGCAAGGGTAGCATGCAGCGTGTCGTGCCACTCACGGGGCGTTTGTCGCAGGCCGTAGACTGGGCGCCACAGGAGCCACTGGGTCCCAGGCGGGAAGGTACTTGTAAAGCCCTGAGGGCGACGCAGGTAGACCTTCTCGTGTAGGCTGCCTTGAAGAAAAGCTGTGGATAAGTCGAGGGAGTGTTACTCGTAGTCGCGCTATGCTGCTACGTGTAGCAGCACCCGAAGAGTTGTCATCTTCGGGGTCGGTGCGAAGGTCTGAAAGAAGTCCACCCCCTCATGCTGATTGAAGCCTCTAGCCATGTAGCACGCCTTGAACACATGCGGCTCTCCAGGGGGGCGCTTCACCTTGAAGAGCCAGCGGCCATCGACTACGTTCATCCTGGGTGGGGGATCTGCGTCGATGTAGGTGGCGGTGGATCTCCAAGATGCCATCTCCTGCTCCATGGCAGCTATCCACTGAGAGGCCAAGGGTCCCGAGGTGGCCTCAGCGTAGCATGGAGCAGAGATGGGAAGCAGCCTCGGACAGGAAAGCTAGCTTTTACTGCCGGTCCTCCAAGACGTCACTGCAGAGGGCTGGAGCACCCCCGATAGATGGAGGTCGCGCAGGGTCAGAGACCAGAGCGGTGGCGTAATCAAGGCGGCGGGTAGAGGCGATGTCGGTGACAGCAACGACAAGGGCGTCAAGACGTGAAACAGGAACAGACTAGTCAGTAACGAGAGGGGCAAGGACCCGAGAAACGAGAGGACGAGCGGCACGAAGGTAGTCAGATAGAGGGGGAGGAGCAACAACAAGTGAGGACGAAGGAGGCAACGGTAGGAGGGGAGGACGAGACACGTGGGAACGAAGCAACATAGGGTGAGAACGCGGAAAAGGGGAGATCGAACGAGCACAAGAGGGACGGCGAGACTAGACGTGTGACGGGGGTGTCGGGTCAAGAGACAGAGGAGGGGACACAAGAGGATAACGAGGGGGAAGACGAGCCGGAGACGAGTCTGGAGGAGGGAACACAGGGCCGTAGACAGGAAGAGGAGGAGAAGGTAGGAGAGGCACAGACGCGCGGTCAGGGGAGCGAAGGCCGAGCAGGAGGAGGGCGGACACCCTGGCGATCGCTGCTGCTGTGGCTGCACGACGCCGACACCTGGACTGCCAGCTGCTCCACGGCTACCTTCGGAACACTCCACTCCAGCATCCCCAGAAGGAACACCCCCAGAACCAGAATCTCTCTCAGCACCGACACCACCCCCAGGCCCACCGGGATACGCCACGACAGGAACCCCAAGACTAGCACCCTCCTCAACGCTAGCACCCCCAGAGGGCACGAACTGCTGCGGCGGTGGTGACAACGTCGTCTGATGCTGCGTCTGCTGCGACGACGGCTGCGGCTGCGATGGCGGCTGCAGCTGCGATGGCAGCTGCGGCTGCGATAGCGGAGCAGAAGACACTGGGGAGGGGGCAGGCGGTGAAGACTGCGCCGCAAGGCCACTAGAGTCAGCAGACTCCTCAACCGGGACAACCGACGGGAGGGGGGTGACCTGAGACACACCAGACGGGGCAGGGCGGAGAGTTGGAGAAGCAGGGGTGACCGCAGGAGGGGGAACCAGGAACATGAGGGGAGTAACCGGGGGACCACGGTGGGGAAAACGGTGGTAGAAGGAGATGGACTCGTCAAAGGTGACGTCGCGAGGGTGAAGGAAACGGTGAGACGGCGGGTGGTAGAAGTGCCAGTGAGACTAGTCGAGGGGGAAACCTAGGAAGACACAGGGGACGGTGCTGGCAGTGAGCTTGTCCGTGCCAGAGGCACGAACGTGAGCAAGGCAGCCCCAGACGTGAAATGCAGACGCGTCACCATGAGACCCGGTCCAGAGGAGGGTCGGCGAAACCTGCGGCCGCTGAGGGTGCGGCCACAGGTTAAGCTGGTGAGCGGCGTTGCAGATGGCGAACGGCCACAGAAAATGGGGTGCACCGGCATGGATCATGGAGGTACGAGCCAGCTCCATGACCAAACCGATGCGTCGCTCAGCGACCCCATTCTGCTGCGGAGAGTCCGGCAAGGTGAACGTCTGAGTGATGCCCTCCGCACGACAGAAACGCGCAAGGCAACGAAAGGAGAACTCGCCACCGTGGTCAGAGTGGAGACGCAACACAGGGAGACCTCGGTGCACACGCGCAGAGACACGGTGCCATGGGATAAGAACGTCAGGCACGTCGGTGTTCTTCTCCAGGGGAAACACGGTGGTGTAACGAGTGTAGTCATCAACAAGGACGAGGAAGTAACGCTCACGACGTGGCCCATGGACGGGGGCAGGGCCCCAGACATCCATGTGCACGGTCTGCAAGGGTGCGGTGGTGGGGGGGAGTGAGGAGGAGTGAGGGGCACGGCGGAGCCGGCCCTCGACATAGGGGATGCATGGCGGCGGGTAAGGAGGGGAGGGCGGGGAACGACCCAAGGAGACCTAGAACAAGACCGTGTTGAGACATATGACGAAGACGAGGGAGGGCAGGGTGACCTAGACACTGGTGCCACAGTAGTGTCGGGTGAGTGAGCGACCAACACGAGCAAGCCGCAGCTACCTGAGGAGACACAGTTACCTGGGGAGACGTCCCAACCAGGGGGGGCACGGTGTCCAGCATGAACAGTCCAGACAGCGGGTCCCGGGGGAACGTGGTGAGGGGAGCACCAGTGGCGGCCTTGGTACAGACAGCGTACCGCTCGTGACCAGGGAACGTACTGGTGACGCCAAGGTCTTGGAGGCAGCCGACACCAACTAGGTTCCTAGAGAATGAGGGGATGTGCAGGCCTGGTAGTGAGCCCGAAGGAACCACTGGACAGGGAAGGGTAGTGGAGCTACGAGCTACGACAGGGCCTGAGGAAGGGTCAGCCAGGGAAACTGCGGGGGAGCGGCAAGCGGCGTGAGAGTAGTGGAGTCCCGGAAGAAGCACCGGGAAGCGCCGGAGTCAAGGGTGAAGGAGAGTGCGGCAGTGGCGGCAGGAGCCGAAGAGGCGAGAGAGGAGCCTAGGCTAAACAAAGCAGGGGATCCTACGCCTGACGCAGCAGGGGAGTCTGAGCTAGGCACACCTACGCAAGGCAACACGGGGTAAGCAGAACCAATCACACTAGAGTCATCGACATACAGCACATACAATGCATAACTAATCTCATCCATGTCCATATCAAACATCTGAACACCCCGACGGAGCAAGCTGAGCCAGTCGGGGAGGTCGGGCGGCGGGCCGAAGCGAAGTCGAAACAGGTCGTCCAGGCAACTGAAACAGCGGGTGGGGGTGTGACCGATCTTACCGCACACTAGGCCACAGCGAGGACCGGTCTGGAGCTGGTACTGGCAGCGCTCGTCGCCCGAACCACCACCTGAAGTTACGCCGCGCGCACGACCACCACGACCGTCGCCACCACCAGTGCCGGGCCACCCGGGCGGGAGACGACCAACCCGCCGCTGCTGCTGCTGCTGCTGCTGTAGTGGCTGCTGCTACGGCGGCTGCTGATCCAGCGGTGGAACCTGCTGCTGCTGCTGAGACTGCTGCCCAGCGCCCTCGTCAGCACCCCCAGCGGGCGACCCCGCTCCACCACCCCAACCTCCTCCACCACCAACGCCGCGCCCAGCCTTGGGGCGGCGGCCGAAACTTTGCTGCAGCGGCTATCTCAGCCACAGCAGCAGAGCCGTCAGAGAAAGTGCACTGAGCGGGCGCACAGCCCTGAAATATAGAGACCGGCACAATATTGCGTGACTGGGCGATAGAGCGCTGGTGGGTCTCTATGGCAGACAGGGTGTCGAAAAAGTCAGTGAGGCTGAGGTATGCGGGGTGGAGACTAAGAAAATGATTGCAGGCAGTAGCAAGGCGGTCAGGGAGGCGGGTGGCAAGCAGGTAGAGGGTAGCGCAGAGGGGGGGCTTGAACACGCGGAGTTGGGCCTCAGTGCAGGGGGAGCACCAGGTCGAGTCTAGCGTGCGCAAGTGGGCGGCTACGTCAGCGACAGTGGGGAAGGACGCAAGATCAGGAAAAAGCAGGGGCAGGATCAGGCGACCGACGGAGGCAGAGGACGGGGTGGAATAGCGCGCAATAACAGCCTCTAGGAACTCCTGCGTGGTCATGACCGACCTAAAGCGGGGACGCTCAGACAGGGGAAGGGCATGACTGATTGCGAGCTGTGCGACAGCGTCACGGGTGCAGGCCAGCTGCGAGACGGGTGGGGGGGGGACCGGTGACGGGACGGGCACGGGCCGGCGATGGAACGGGCGTTGGCCAGGTACACGACGGGCGTGGGGCCGGCTACGGGACGGGCGCGGGGCCAGCTACGGGACGGGCGCGGGGGCCGGCTACGGGGCGGGCGCTGGGCCGGCTACGGGACGGGCGCGGGCCGGCTACGAGGCGGGCGCGGGCCGGCTACGAGACGGGCGCGGGGCCGGCTACGGGACAGGCGCGAGGGCTGGCTATGAGGCGGTGCGGGGCCGGCTACGGGACGGGCGCGGGCAGCTATGGGACGGGCGCGGGGGCCGGCTACGGGGCGGGCGCGGGGCCGGCTACAGGACGGGCGCAGGCCGGCTACGGGACGGGCGCGGGCCGGCTACGGGACAAGCGCGGGCTGGCGACGGGACGGGCGCAGGCCGGCGGCCGACTATGGGCGGGCCGGCTAGGGGAACAAGCCGGCTAGGGGGAACGGGCCGGCTAAGGGGAATGGGCGGCTAAAAACCTAGGGCAGAACCGCTGGTGGGCGAACGGGACCTAACCTACTCATGATACCATTTTAGAATGCTGTATGCTCTAACAGCAATGCTGCCGAGCGACGATGACAATCTCCACTGCAAGCACGTCATATTGGCACCACACTCTGAAGCAAACACAACCCACGGACACAATGGGATCAGATCTTGCACGCAGACACAACACATGACATGACAAGACAGCACCGACAAGAATGCATTCATAGACAACACAACACATGGTACTGTTAAACTAAGCTAGGATCTAGGTAGGAGGGAAGCCATGGAATGGCGTGAGGTTTAGGAAGGAGGAAGTTGATGAGAGAAAAGAGGGAGAGATTAGAAGAGAGAGGGATACAAGGAGGGGGGTTGTACCCTCTACAGTAGGTTTTAGTAACACCTACCAAGCCTACCAATTATATAACAAAATATATAATTTAACAGGTACATGCAAATACAAACCGAACAATGCCACACATGCATGCCATACGTGAACACAGATCCAATACACATGAACAGATAAAGCCTAGGCACAACCTAATGCTAAAACAACTAGCAATACATATTAACAAACAAAAATAGCATACGCCTCAGCCCCATGTCCCCCCCCCCCCTTCTTCACCCATCCCTCGTCCCACTCCCCTCCCACTTCCCTCCCACTCCTCTCTCACTCCCCTCCCACTCCCATCCCCATCCCTCCC